GTTCACACACTCTAAATTATTTTTGATGAAAACCACAATGATAATGATAGACAACAAGAAGTCCCACAAAAAGCAGTAATTTTTAACAGATTTGTTGTTTTCAGATTTATATTTATGAATGAAATAGTTATTTATGAATGAAGTTATTTATGTTTTAAAATTAAATTTAAGATTTTGGAGAAATAATTTCTGGTTTAGAAATCTTTTTCCAGGCCAAATTTCAATATGAATTTATTAAAGTTACACGGTCGTTGTTGTTGTTGAAATCACAATCCTGATCGCAATATTTAAAATGGAGTATTTTGTAACTTCGCCTATGATGTTTGGTATTGCAAATTGAATATATGGGTTTACGTTTTAATAATGGGGGTAATTCGGTATTTTTGGAATTTTTTTATTGGTCCACTTCACTAGGGTAACCCCATATATTGGTATTTCCCAATTTCGATATTTTGTGCAGTTTACGTTCTAATATCGATATTTGAGGAATTTGGTCACGTTTTTGCGTTCTCTTTTGGATTTTAAATCTTCCTACTGAAAAATGTGAAAAATCATTAACTCATATCCTGAACATATCACGAGAGTGAAATTAAAACTACTATTCAATTTCCAATGGAGTGTGTCTTCCATCCGTACCACCAAAGTGCTTTACATATATACAGTGTCGAGCAGAAGCGAGTGGTTATACAGTGATCACTTTTTACATCATAGAATTATAGTAAAAAGGAAAAGAGTTTGTGGTCACTTATTAAGTATCTAGTACTTAATAAAATTAACATTTTAACAAAATAACCGAAATAACGTATTCACTAACTTTTGTCCGTTTGCATTTTATGAAAAATTTGAAGAAACGACAGGGAAAATATTTTTTGGTTTTTGTTAGTTCTTTTCTACGAAGGCATACGTTTTTTATAATAATTAATACTAATAATAATGATAATATTAATAATAAAAAATCTAACAATAACAAATCACAAAAAAATCTTTGGAATCCGCCGAAGAGGCCACCCGGATCTTGAGTGGAGGATACTGTCCTACCATGGAACATGCGGGGAAATTTTAAGTATGCCAATTAGAGGTCGTGGGGGTACAAAAACGTTAAGTTTTAACACCAACATATGCTTTGTTAAAAATACTCAAACCCGTTAGTCGGTGATCTACATTGATTATAGCAGCAGTAACAAATACAAGAACCTGTGTAATCGACAACCGTTTGCAATTCGACGGTATCCATTATTGCCGGTGAAAATAGTTAGAAGTATGCCAATTAATAAAATACAAGAGAACATTTATAATTTGCTTTTTTACCTTTTACTTTTGTGACGTAAAGACTGCTCGAAGTAGAAACATCCACCCGCTTCTGCACGCCACTGTATAAATTCAGCATCTTTGAAAGAAGTAACGGCACTTTTAAATTTCCTGGAAACGGAAATCTTTTTAAATTGAATTTTTATTCTCACTTCGGGCAGACTCCTACATTATTCGTAACAGGATGTAGAATACAGAAAACGCTGCCATGTAAACAGTTGCTGATGAGGGGAGTGGGCAGACGAGGGGGGTCAGCATAATAAATGGAGAATGAAATTCAATTGTTGCAGAATGACTTTGTTAAACTGCATTAACAAAGGCAGCTTCCAATGCAACAAATGAACCAACACACACATGGCACTCTCAGCAACTGCAACATATATAAGAACTGATTCCAGCTACGATTTGTAAAACCCATCAGCTCATTCGCCAGCTTCACTAACAATGCAACAGCATTGTTGCGCCAACAATCGTTGTAGCTCAACAAAGGAAAAGCATATACAATGCTAACAACACCAACAACAAGCAGCACTTTCAGCATCCCCGACATTATGCGTTGGGCCACTCGCCCACTCTTACCCAGCGACATCGCTGAGAAACATAGTTTACTCTACTTTACGTTCTTACCTGGCTCACATGCTCATTTCCAATTCAATGGATAAGCACCGTGGAGTATAATGGAAACATTCAAATCATCAACACCATCGACAATAGAATGCAGCAACAACAAGTTTGTACTCCATTCAGACATAAGTTGCATCTTCTTCGCATAAAGGCTTTGGGGAAGTAAATATCGGCAGAACAATTGCCATATTCACGAATAGTAGTACAACACATTCAGTACAAAAACAAATACTACTGGCAGGATATTGAGTTTGTGGAGAACTTTTCTGAATAGCTTAGGAATGTACATCTTATTCCTGCGAAGAATGGAGTTTCACTCTGGAAGTGTAGCATTATCATTATGATGATGCTGATGATGATCCGACATTGATAAACAGAGTTAACACCCCATGAAAGTCCAGTAGGTATATAAATTTATAAGTGCATTAGCGTATCCAAATTCCACAAAATAACGAATAATGGAGATACCGTTACATGAAAAATATCGTAAATTGTGGACCTCTTTTAATTAGAAAATTGAGTGGGTTTTTAAATATACTGAAATCCTCAAAAACCTTAAATATGGGGACTATAACGGATATTTATAAATTTCGGTAGGGAGATTTAACTCCCAATGAGAACCCAAGATATCAGTTTACAGCCAATTCAGTACATCCTAAAATAGATAATATTAGAGGCAACCCTTATATGGTATGTATGTGCACACTTTCAAAACCCTATATAGAATTTTATTCTGAACAAGAATATTTACATATAATTTATGAGATCTCCGATGAATAGGTCGAGGTGTTGAAAATGAAATGCTAAATTAAATATACAGTCCACTTTATGATTAAAAATCCTATTTAACACTATTTAAAATTAATTCAATTTCTGTGTGGCAAAAATTATCCGGAATGCATAAATTGTGACCTTGATTACCAAAAAAAACTTGCCATTGTTAAGAACAAGTCATTTAGAGGTTCTTCAACAAACTGCAATTCTGCTCACTTTGGAAAATAAATACCTTACCACGAAAATAAACGTCAGGTAGGTTAGGGGAAAAACCTACCTTTGCAGAATGTTGGTGAAGATTTTATTATCTGTTGCGCAAAAGTTGATACAGCCTCAAAAAAACTTCTGCAATTCGCAAGAATTTGCTGCTCATGGTAAATACAAATTTTGTCGGACCAAAACTGACTTATTGTTGTTTTATGACAGCTGAACATGAATACCGCTCGAAGAACTAAAGAGGAATAACAAAATGAGTTCCTCCCACAATAATATTTTCAGTGAGAATGATGGTAGCGCCCAGTTTGGCTATGGTACACAGTTCCATTATACACAGAAACAAATTTTTAATGAATATTTTCATAATTTCATTCATAGTTTATTTTTTCCATATTGTACATGTACCATGCTTTGAATACAAGCAAAAATTCTTAAAACCATGAGAAAGCCTTTATTTTACCTTCTCCGCTCTACTTTACCACTATTGCGCTTATTTGTCCTCTCTCATTCTCTTTTTTGTGACAAAAACATATGTATTCCTCCCACCGCACCACATACCCCGTTCATTGATCATATGTGTTTTGGTATAGTTCTCCGCCCTTCCCCTTACTGTTTCTGTTGATAACAACCACCAACTTTTTTGACAAAAACAAATGTATTCCTCCTAAGAAAAAAAAAACAGCAACCATTCCTTGTTCGGCTGTGTTTTGTTTTGGTACAACGCGTAAGTAAATAATTAAAGAGAACAAGACAAGAAAAGAAAGACATAACAAGGAAGATAATAACAGAAAATCAATGAGTTAGAGTTTCTCCCTCTCCCTGTGTCATTCAAAAACCCGCCACCACCACCAAAGGCACAAAATGGTAGATTTTTTTCTTTCTCAATCTCTTTAAAAAGAAACCAGTATTTAAAGTTTTATGGATTGCGTTCATAAAATGCAGGAATCTCGACATTGGCAACACTTTCTGAACACTATTCATATAATGGACGAATTATTTTTTTCTGTGTATGATCTGCAACTCATCTAGTTACAGGATGTCATCATGGCAATTGAGTACCATATGAAGCATGGCCTGTCAACCGACATCTGTTTATTTAAATATAACAACAGCGCCACATTTATTGGTCCAATAAATCGAATATATGTTAAGCTACAGTCAAACTTCTCTATCAGGTATTAATACCGGAGGATCTTGCAGTCGATTACGAATCATATCCACACATATTCGAATGAGAACAAGTGACAAGGAGGGCAAACCAATTACGTTACTTATTGCAAAAGGGGTTTAAGTGCACCGTTTAGGTATGTCAACACTGCCAACCCTGAATGTGTGGGCCTCCCACCGCCCACACTGGCTTTGTCAACAGAAATTAATTTCCAATGAGCTCCTAATTGTTTTCAAGTGCTTGCTCATGTTTTACACTTTTACCACAATCACCTGTACAGGTGTTTTGTACGTCGAAATATGTGGCCATTGTATGGTTAGGTGATTTACCTGTGCATGCTCTTGCTTAACATGCATATAGGGTCGACGGAGGGTTGCGTATCCTTGCTATTGTCCAGTGTACACTTAATTGCATAATTGCATTAGCTTTGTACTGTGACATGGCACCGGTAATTATTTATGGCCATGGAACAACACTCTTTCCCTCTGCAGGAAACTGGTTGATTCAAATTGGTCATACATCTCACTCGAAGTGTTGGCACTTTCCATTACCTCGTCCGGTTGCTAAGACAAAAGCACTGCACGCCAGTACCTCCTCAGTTAGGAGCACACAATTGCACTCCACTTGTGGTGGTTGGCAGACCGTCTCCTTAGTTCTTCTCTGAATATTTCTTGGCATCCCAGGTGAAGAGGAATTTGGTTGTCGGTAAGTGATTTGGAGAACATAATGGCTTATTCGGAAACGCGGACAACATAGTAACTGATGTGTTAGTTTGTAGAGACAAAGGCGAGTTCTTTTTTATAAGAGGCAAAGGCGAATTGCTTGAAAATGAAGACGGCTTTTTAAAAATGAAACAATATTTATATCAATTAAATAATCTACAAAAATAGTAATCAAGCGGATACTATGTTGCCTAAAATAAGGAGGGGAAGCTGGAAATGGGTAAGCTATCTCAAAGATTACTGTGCCAACTGTACATTGGCAGGCTTTAGCTACATTGCCAATCAAAAGTAAGTACGAATAGAGATACGGCCGTGTATATGACCTAATGCAATTACAAATTTCAAAGTCTGCACTTGATTGAACGGATTTTTTGGCTGATATGTGTCGTATTCTCCACTATGGGTTCTTATTTACTGATCAGTCAGTATCAAAGGGACTTCAATAGTCGCGCCGTGAGTATCGTTTATGAAAGCTTGCCATCGACTCATAAGATGTTGTTCCCGACCATAGCAGTTTGTGATATGTACAATAAGTTTGTCGCACCTCCGGAGCTAATAGATTACGTAACGTCGTGAGTACTCGAAACGTTAATATCAATTCCACTGGCAAAAAAATTTGATTTTTAATCGTTTATATTATCGAATATATCGTTAGCTAAAATGCAAAAAGGCGTAACTAGCAAAAAATTGAAAATTGACTTTTTGAATGAATATTGTTAATGTCAATAAACTACATGTGTTGACAAAGTTTTACACATCTGCGGTCAAAGAAGGAGCTTCATTTAACAAAAAACAAAAAGACGTAACTACAAGTGGGTTTATTTGATAAATGCAAAAAGGCGTAACTAACAAAAAATTCAAATTTTTGCTAAATTGTTATGACTGCCATTAAACAAAATAACTAAATTTGTTAAAAAAAATTATAGTCTATTATTCGTCATATGCAATATCACCCTGCCGGGCATACTTTTTCATTTCACATGACATGTTTATAGTTTTCATTCAAAACAGTTTTTTACTTCTCCTACACAATTATGGTTTTGTTAGTTACGCCTTTTTGCATTTTAGCAGACGATATATCGAATTTATATTTTTTATGACATTGGCCGGTTAAATTGCTCATATGCCCAAAATTCTAAAGTGGATTTTCCAGAGTTTTCAATATTTTTTGCATATGAACCGTAGACTTGGATCTCCAGATGAGGAGTACAGCTATGACGTAGAGACATTCATAAATTTCCTTGTGTATCCCTATTTCTATCGAGAGGATAACATTAAAGGTTGGTGCTCTGAGGACTGCGGAGAGGGTTGTGCAGAATGTCCGCCCAAGGACTTGCGACAATTGTACGAGAGGGTAAGCCAAATAAAAATAAATAAATAAATACATCGTCATGTTTACAACATGCGCTCATGCTTTTATACTTTTATCAAATACTGATATAATAATAATGTTCTGTAGTAACGCAGTAGTACAACGCAGTAAACTGGGGATCAGTTAAAGCTGCATTGCATTAGGTTGACTCAATCTTAAAGTCACTTTCCAGTTTTTTTTAATATCGTTGCACTTTTCCGAAATAACCTCATAACCGCAATATTTCAGTTCATGACCAACTGCAGTGACTTTTTCGTATCCTGTGAGTTCTCTTTGAGGCCGATCGACTGCTGCAAATATTTTTTACCCCTCACCACTCCACATGGAAACTGCTTTATGTTCAACTCGCTTTTAAATAATAAGAAGTAAGTGTGTACCTATTTATAAGCACGCGATACTGATTCAGTTTGTTTCCTAGAGGGAGTCCCACTTGGTACAATAATGAAATTGACCCGCTAACAGATATCGCTAAAATGAAAATAATTACAAAGAAACCGACGCAGGTAATCCCTTTTGGAGCAAAATTAATGTGTCTATCTGATGAGTTCTTGTTTCCAACACAGCTGTCCGTCCTCAACGAGGAAGATGTACCTCATAACTCTTTGGCGGGCTACAAAGTGGAGGCCAATAAGCCGGGCCAGGATAAAGTCTTTCAAATATTTATGCAAACCATGAGCAATGATCCCGACGTTCGAGAAATATCCCCGGAATACAGGCAATGTCGTTTCCCCGACGAACTGATCAAAGACACCGCATACAAAGCCTACAGCTTTAGCACTTGTTTCGTTGACTGCCACCGAGTCCACCAAATGAAGGAATGTAACTGCTCGGTGTTCAACTTTCTGCCCGAACCCATAAGCAAGTACCCCGACTGTGACCTGAAGGGTCTACTCTGTCTCGAGGACTACACTTTGGTCAGACCGGATGCCAGAAACTTACTGCCCTGGACCGACAGCAAGTACTCCTGTGAATGCTTGCCGTCGTGCACAGAAAGCGACTTCCGAGTCGTGTTTGACCACCAATTGCCGTAAGTATTGCAAACGGGTAGTATCATGGCTCGACAGACATCATTACGAACACTTGTTTACAGCTATAACAAATCCAACCAGCATATGACCATATCTGTAACAATGCCAGAATTTGCAACCGAGCGTTATCGACGCCAGGCCTTGCGCACACGTCTAGACGTGGTCGTCACAATTGGCGGCATCTTGGGTTTGTTTCTAGGGGCCAGCATTTTAAGTGGCATTGAGTTTGTCTACTATTTTACGCTTCGCTTATGGAACAATTACCGAATGAGTCGCCAAAGTCATCGGAACTTATAAATGTGTGAGCATCATAACAAATAATCGTGATTCTTGAAGAACTGCACTCGCAACCCAACGCACCAAACGAATGACGCCAGGAGGCTCCTAAAACCCTTCTTACAAAAACATATCAAGCTGAGTCTAAATTTAAATGCACGAATTGATCGATCCATAATATACGCATGGCATGATCCGTAATATGTAAAACGCCATGGTGACCTTACATTTCTCATCAACCCATTAAAGACAATTTGAAATCGCTTACTGAAACATGTGTGTGTGTGCTTCTTCTTCATAAATATGCAAACATCCCCACGCTCACACCTCATAAATGTCTGTTCGTGGCGGATCCTATTGATGAGCCTATTCAATTATTTACGCGCAAATTCAATTGTCACTCTTCCAAGTGAATTGCTGGGCGAATCTGTTATTTCTGTGCATTAGGATTTAGTCGACATTTAGGACGTGACTTCATACGAAATGTAAAAACCAATTTATGATGAGATGCGCTGTACACAACTCCATTTACAATCTACAGCTGCGGACACATTGATGTGTACAGGTGTACAAAGGGATTTTTATTTGTTTTGAGCGGATTGGTTGATTGACACTGCCCCCAGACTCCAACTCCAAGCACGGAAAAACTTTATGGGATTGTCGAATTGTATTTCGTTTTATTTATTCACATTTTATTTACGAGTAACCTGTTTGCCATACACACATTTGTTAATACCAACATCATATTCCGATTGCGATGGGCAGGTGCCATGGACAGGACGGTCGGCCACGCACTTCTTGGCCGAGTTGAGCTGGAAGTTGGTAGGACATTGTTGGCCGGCGACCAAGGCCAAGATGGCGCAGAAAATAGCCATGAACCAAGTAAATTGCATCTTGATGATCTGAGGGAAAAGGGCTTTGTTAGAACGACCGGACGACCCTCCACTGCACTGTACTTACCGTTTGCTAGCGGAAGAATGCTTATTCTCGAAATTCTCCAATAGACTAATCAACTCAAGCCTCAGTTCTATGTATTATATACTTTTGCTGTGACTAAGACGTTCCATTCGGAATTTATTTTATGAAGCAGATAGCGATAGCGTCGACTGACCCCTGCACTCACCCAATGGGAGTGTGTAATCACTTTCAAATCTAATTCCAAATATTTCGAAAGAAAAACAAGGCAATCTCACTCAAGTGTAATCAGAATTCGAGAAGAAATATTGATTCAGATGCGTCTGTATAGCCCCATATTGCTACCACAGTCTGATAATAATATCAATATTTTCTTTTGAAAAGGCATGCACAGCTCTTCGTGGAATTTGAAGTGTTCGGGGAAAATCGATTGTTTGCTCGAAAAGATAATTGAATAATCGTCGACGACCTGCCCTTGGCGAGTGTTTATTTCAAATGGTAATGAATGATTCTAAAGATAGAACATCTAGCTAAGTGCATTTTCTCCAATGGCAAAAAGCACGCCTCCCAAATGAAGTTGAATACATTGCCCGTTCCAATTGTTATACCTCAATCCCTTGCACCCGCAGTGCTTTGCAGCCCCCTGGTAAGATATTTCATTCGAATTTGGATCGGTGTATGTGCTGGAGCAGCATGAATACATTAAATATACTGCAGGAACTAAACTTCAATTTGATATCAGCGACAAGTGGTAAAAAGAGTCAAAACTCCAAACAGAAGTGCCTGTTTGGCATATTAAAGTAGCAATTACATGTACAGTCGTACAACATGGCCGAACAATGTAACCTACTTATCTTTCGAACGAACAAAAGTGCAAGCAACTAGGGTCGGTGACGATGGGGTAAGGCAACTGAAACAACAAAAGGATCCTACCACTCCTTTCCCGATGTGTGTTTTATGGCAACCGCAATTGTTATGTGCATAAGTTAATATTTTATTTGACCGAACTTTTGCGAACAACAAACTTCTTGGGCGGAGAGAGAGAGCATAACAATCCCGAATGGAATGACGTTGTGCAATGGATTGTGCTTTGTTTTGTCCTGCATCCTGATGGTTCTCCTCATCGCTCTCCCCACAAAAGAAATAATTAAAAAGTTTTAAAAGCGCACCCTTAACGGACAAGACTCGGCAAAGCGATAGCCGGCTGTGCACGAATTAAATGGTCCTTTGCTGACAAAGTTCAATGCACCTCCCTTCCGCGGCACAAATTCTGCTTAGTTTTATAGAATTTTTCATTTTTTGAAAACGACACCAAAATATGAATAAGAAAAATATTTCACAACTATAGCTCTGATGTGTGTGCGTGTAGTAGACGCTCGCCATGAAAAGCAATAAAAATAAAACCCTGGCAGTTTACTTATCAGTAGTTGCGTGAACTAGATTTGTTTGATGCAAACTAAAGCAATAACAAAAACTCATTTGGCGTTTGGTATAGAATGTGAATTTTGGAGGACGATATTCAGTTTATTCAAATAAATATAAAGCATAATAAGCTTGATCATGTCCAATAGAAATAGAAATATACTGCAACTCTGTTTATAGTAAATCGCACATTTTCTGAACAAGTCGATTTTCAATTTAAATCGAATTATCTTTTATTAAGATTTGATTGGTGAACATTTTGAAATTGTCCAAAATGCACAATGTATGTGCCAATTAATGCAGGGGCCGTAACGGTAATAAGTAATATCAAATAACAGATATTTTGTGGCCTAAATAAAAAACACTTTAATTATTTATTTTTTTTTTAACGGAAAAAATAAACGTTGATTTTTAACTGTTAAAAATGATTGTTGTTTGTTCCGTTAAAAATAAAACTCTTTAAAAGTTGTATAAGCTTCTTTACGTAAAAATAGTTTTATTTTTGACGGAAAAAATAAAACTCCCAAAAAGTGTTTTATTTTAACGGAAAAAATAACAATCATTTTTAACAGTTTATTTTTTCCGTTGAATAATAAGTTTTCACATGGGAATTGAGAGTGTTTTCTCAATATCACCCAATATCCTTAATGGGCTCGTCAATATGTGTCTATTGGTATATGACACTATAGGTGTCCCATGTCTCTAACATGAAGAGTTATTTGTTAGCATTTTTAAAAATAACTGCTATTTTCTGTACCTGAATTAATTTCATCCATCAATGGCTTTCCTGAACTTATGTGTGGGAAGGTGAATTTAAAATACCGTAAATTGTAGAGAATTATATAATATAGTATTGGTGGAATTGGAATTTATAAATGTGGCAAAACATAAATCTAAAAATATATCGAATTCTAGGATTTGAACAAAGTGTCAGGCAATACTGAATCTGTAGAAATGGATAGAGTTAAGATGATAACTGATCTTACTTGTTTTCGCCCAGCAAAAAAAAAAAAAACAAAAACCTTTAATAACTGAGAAGAACAGCGGGTTTGCCAAATAGCAAAATAATTGGTCTCGGCAAATCTTTCCGACGAATCCAAATTATGTGCAGCATCCTAATCAAATCATTTCAAATTTCTTGTCGGTTTTTAGAGGAAAATCTTTACAGAAAGGAGGGACATATATAGCCGGTATTTATTGTTGAGGTTGTGTGGGCGAGGTACTAGTGGAACGTTATCCCATCTTTGGATGTAACGTTGGTTTGGTTACAGGTTCATCAAAGGAAAAGATAAGCGGCTAAAGTACTGCCAAAAAGGACGCAAATATTACATATTTTGGAACTTAATATCTTTTTTCTGCTAATCCTTGACTTTGTCTTACTTTGGATATAACTAACTTCGTCTAAAACAAACTAATTTGCTCTATTATAATTTGATCCAGAAATTTCCAGAATTTTGATATTTGTAAATCGACTTCATATTGTCTGAAACGAATTTGGTAACCCTTGGGTCTAAAATTGATATTTCGATCAATCGCATTTCCACCGTATCAAACTGTGAATACCCTTATAAGCCTTAAGACTAAGTATATACAAATCACCACGACACATTTGGTTTACTTATATTGAGATATTCAAAGGTTTGATTTGTTTCAAAGCTATTGTTAAAATTAACACAGCCTAAAAATATGCTTTATTATTGTCATAAAATTTGATTTAGGTATTACAGCGGTTGTTTTGCAGCTTTTATTCATACGTATTAACATTAAATTAATTTAAAAATAAAATAAGTAGAAAAAGGGCGTTCTTTGCGATGGTTTGCAAAAAAATATTTTTTTACTTTGATATTTTCTAAAAGCAAAATGCTGTGTCCAATATATGTATGGCAATGCAACACAGTAACGATCCATCCACCCGGTAATGCAGTGAGAAGAATGCTACTGGCACAATGAAAGTTTCCTACAGAATATACTCCAGAAATTATTTTCAACGGCCCCTTAATATTAGAGTAGCTTCCCCCACCCAATGCGGAATTATCTGGCATTTTATCTTATCACACTCGCCAACTTCAAATGAGTGGACAAAACAAAATGAAACTTTTGCCTCCGTTGTTCGGATTCTTTTTAAAAAATATGTCCGAGTTTTAAACTTTCACAACCACACAAACATTGATACACTACGTTATAACACAGGGCTGACATCTAAGGGCATAAAACAAACAGGCCTTTGCCAGTAACAAAAATTCTTGGAATACGTCTATATAAAATGTCGCAGGTAATCGGTGGGTCGTTATCGGTCGGCCAAAACCTAAACACCACCTCAGTACATTTTTTTAAACAAATTTATAAATATTTTTTAATTTTTCTTGTTATTTATTGTATTGTTATTGTTGGAAAATACAAACATCTAAGGACATTAAAAATTAAAAACAACATTTTTAAAATTCAGAAGACAATTTAAGTCGCAAATTCAAGCGGACAGAACTAAATAACTAAATCAATTGAAAGTACAGAAAAAATATTAAAATCAATTTTCGATGTATATACATTATTGTAAAGGATATTTTAACATCTTTTAAACATAGAGGGAAATATGTTGTTAATTGTTTCAAGGAAACCCCCCATTCTCGATTCAAGATTTTCAATGGACTGGTAAATGAATACAAATGCTTGTTAAGGTTTGTAAC